GCCAGCAAGCTTGAAGATGGGTGGACTTCAACTCCCAGAATTCCCCATTCTCAGCTGGCTTCCAACAAGCAAAGTCATGGTAGGTTTACTTAAGGACCACTTGTGTCACCTCGTAAAGCATCCCTGTGCCTGTTTTAGAGTTGCCATAAACAAGGGGGAGGGGTGGGGGAGGGAAGGAAGTCTGAAGGAGCAGGGCCAGCAGTTTAAAACCAGGAGTACATTTCAACACTTTTCTTACAAAGATTGTAGCTAATTAGAGAATGTGACTGATGACACCCAGCCTGTGAAGGTGCTTCATTGGAGAATCTGATTTATGCCAGAGTTGGCTTCATATAGGTTAATGCAATGGTGGGGTTCAGTTTTTTTTTAGTACCGGTTCTGTGGGCGTGGCTGGGTGGGCGTGGCAGGGGAAGGATACTGCAAAATCCCCATTCCCTCCCCACTAGCCTGCTTTCCAGCTCCGTTCTCCTGTGCAGGGCAACCAAAGAAGACCCAGCCAATCAGCTATGGGCATGGCTTGGTGGGAGTGGTGTTCTGTGGGCATGGCTTGGTGGCTTGTGGGGCGTGGCAGGGGAAGGATATACTGCAAAATCCCCCTTCCCTCCACACCCCACTAACCTGCTTTCCAGCTCCGTTCTCCTGCGCAGGGCAACCAAAGGAGACCCAGCCGATCAGCTGAGACTCAATGGGAGGCAGAGAATAGATGGGACGGGGCCAGTCAGAGGTGGGAGTGGCCAATGCCCTGAACTACTCAAAATTTCTGCTGCTGGTTCTTCAGAACCGGTCAGAACCAGTTGAATACCACCTCTGTTTAATGCTGGACACGTTGCTCCTAATAAATCTTTTGGTTTCTTTTGAAGCTTGGCCCGAGGGTCGTGATTTAATTAGGGCAACCGCCGGAATCCTGACAACTTGATTCACTTAATTGCAATGATTCGCTTAACAACCGTGGAAAAAAAAAAGTTAATAAAACTGTCCACGGCTCACTTAAACAACCACTTTGCTTAACAATGGAAACCCTGGTCCCAATTATGGTTGTAAGTCGAGGTCTACCTCCGTCCCGGTGTAACAGAGGTCAAAGAGAAGGAGTTGCGGAAGACAAGTTGAGTACCTTCTTCGCGGGACACCCAATACTTGTACGGCCGGTAAGCTGTTGGTTCTATCGAATTCTTGTAGGAGTATTCCTGGACTGCCTTCTTCACCATCTTCTCCAGGTGGGATTGGTCAATTGGTTGATCCACTCTGGGTATGGTCAAACCCTGTGGACAGGAAGGAGAAGAAAGTCAATTGGTTGAGATGGTTGGAAGTAGCCTTGGAGGAGTCATTTCCGCGCGGACAACCTCTCAAGTGGGGAATGTAGACGCCTAGAATTGTAGAGTTGACTGTTTCTCCTCTACTACTCCAACGTGACTCAACCTTGGTGAATTTAACACAAAGTGGGACTTCAACTCCCAGAATTCCCCAGCCAAAGTGTGGACTTCAAGGCCCAGCATTCTACTTACTTGATCCCACCCCCTCCAGGTATGGAAGTTGAGTTCAGTGTGTCTCAACTTTGGCAAGTTGAAGATGGGTGGACTTCAATTCCCAGAACTCCCCAGCCAGCTTGGGTGGACTTCAACTCCCAGAGTCTTGCTGGCTGGGTCACACTCTCTCAATATTTGGAGGTGTAGTCCAGCATTTCTCAAAACCTAGTAAGCTTAACATGAGTTGGACTTCACCTCCCAGAATTCCACTGGCTGGATCTCATTCTCTCCACATTTGGAGCTCTGGTGCAGCATTTCTCAAACTGTGGCAAGTGTAACATGGGTGGACTTCAACTCCCAGAACTCCTCAGCCAGCACCTGTGGACTTCAATTCCTAGAATTCTCCTGGCTGGGGTCCCTGGTGGTCTTCTAGTCCAGGTATCTCAAACCTTGGCAAATTTAAGATGGGTGGACTTCAACTTCCAGAATTCCCCCGCCAGCATGGGGAATTTTATTTGCAGGACACATGGAGAAACTTCACGATAGTTTCAGCAGAATAGCGCATTACAAAAGAAAAAAAATCCTACCCTACAAATGCTCTCTCTTCCCCTAAGGTGTTCCTGCCAGGCACCTGAGGAATGACCTGAAGATAGTAAAAGTACCAATGGAAAAGCAAGTTTGTAGCTCAGGGTTGAACTGTGAGGTTAACTTGCTGTAAGATGCGCGTAGTTTCCTAGTTGAAAAACCATGGTGAACTCTGTCCATGTGTTTGTGCAATTTTGATCAAGCCTTCTGACTTCTCATCATGCGCTCTGACTTAGAAACGATAGTTTCTCAACCAAACACTAGAGAATTCGAGAAACACTCAGACGAATCCGCCATCAACAGGCACAGAGAGATAAACAACATTTACACCACCATTCAAAGGAGGAGTCAGTTGAAAAGCCCAAACGGAAACAAAAAGACCAAAATAGCCCTCAACAGCAATTGGCACTCAGATGAGCATTAAGATCAAGATTAATAATGTTCTCGAAGGTTGTTCAAGAAGTAAACCACGTCTCAATCCAGGGGCTACCAACTCAGACCAACGATCACATTGTAAACAACAGCTTGATCAAGGAGCCATCAAGAACCCTCCCGCCAACAAACAGGGCATAAGCAGAGAGCAAAACCTACACTTCCTTCTAGCACTGATGATGTTATTCAGTTTGGTGATAAAACGTCTGCAAGAAAGCAACCAAGTTCAGAGAGCCCCAAGAACCCCACAGTCCTCCTCCTCTTCCTCCTCCTCTTCCTCCTCCTCCTCCCTCCTTGTCTTCCTCCCCCTTTTCCTCCTTCTCCTCCTCTTCCTCCTCCTCCTTTCTTTTTCCTCCTTCTCCTCCTCTTCCTCCTCCTCTTCCTCCTCCTCCTCCCTCCTTGTCTTCCTCCTCCTGCTTTTCCTCCTTCTCCTCCTCTTCCTCCTCCTCCCTCCTTGTCTTCCTCCTCCTCCTTTTCCTCCTTTTCCTCCTCTTCCTCTTCTTCCTCCTCCTCCTCCCTCCTTGTCTTCCTCCCCTCCTTCTCCTCCTTCTCCTCCTCTTCCTCCTTCTCTTTGTCTTCCTCCTCCTCCTTTCCCTCCTTCTCCTCCTCCTCCTCCTCCTCTTCCTCCTCCTCCTCCCTCCTTGTCTTCCTCTTCCTTCTCCTCCTCTTCCTCCTCTTCTTCCTCCTCCTCCTCCCTCCTTGTCTTCCTCCTCCTCCTTTTCCTCCTTCTCCTCCTCCTCCTCCCTCCTTGTCTTCCTCTTCCCCCTCCTTTTCCTCCTTCTCCTCCTCCTCTTCCTCCTCCTCCTCCCTCCTTGTCTTCCTCCTCCTCCTTTTCCTCCTTCTCCTCTTCCTCCTCCTCCTCCTCCTCTTCCTCTTCTTCCTCCTCCTCCTCCTCCCTCCTTGTCTTCCTCCCCTCCTCCTCCTTCTCCTCCTCTTCCTCCTCCACTTCCTCCTCCTCCTCCTCCTTGAGATAAGAGTAATTGGCAGTTTGCTGGCTCTCTCCCATCTCTTTTTAGATACCAACGTTTGCTCTTCTCTTCCCATCTGGAATGTCTCCGGTTCTCAAGAACGTCTCAAAGGCAACTAACTCCTAAACTTTTGGGCAAGCCACCCGCCGGGTCCTTCCCTAACCTTAGAAAGCAGGAGCCCTGGTCTCGGAAGTTTAGAAATCCCGCACATTTAGGACCCCGAGGTCCCGCCAGACTCTGGGATCCTTATCTTTTGCAATCAACTCCAGGAAAAGGTCTCTCAGAGTTGTGGCCAAACCGATTACTCAGGGGCTGCCCCAGAGGAGAGGCAGTCAAGCTCTTCTCCAAAGCACCTGACAAGAAGCAACGGGGGTGGAAACTTACTAAGGAGAGAAGCAACCTAGAACTAAGGAGAAATTTCCTGATGGGGAAACAATTAAGGCTCAGGATCCAAAAAGATCTTGACAAACTTGAACAACGGATCCTCTCCGACAAAATGTGGAGAAAAGCGAAATTTTATATTTAGAGAGAGAGAGCAAAGAAAGGTACAATTACAGATTAGGCGAAACCTGGCTCAGAAAACAGGAACTGGGAATCCTAGCGGACGATCCCTTAAACCTGAGCCAGCCGTGTGCGGCAGGCAGCCCAAAAGGCTAATACAATCCTTGGATGTAGAAACAGAGGCATAGAATCGAGAAGTACGTGAAGTAATAGCGTGGCTTTATAAAGCCTTAGTAAGGCCACACCTGGAAGGCTGCATCCAATTTTGGTCACCCTACCACAAAAAAAAAGAGGTTAGACTTGGGAAAAATTGCAGAGAAGAGCAACTAAGAGGATCAAAGGTTTGGAGAACGGCTGCAGGATTTGGGTTTGGCCAGTCTAGAGAAACAGAAGAAGTAGGGGTGGACACAAAAACAGTGTTCCAGTACTCAAGGGGCTGCCCCAAAGAAGAGGGAGTCAAGCTATTCTCCAAAGCCCCTGAAGGCAGGACAAGAAGCAACGGGTGGAAACTAATGAAGGAGAGAAGCAACCTGGAACTAAAGAGAACCTTCCTAATAGGAAGGACAATTAACCAATGGAAGAGCTTTGCCTTCAGAAATCATGGCCGCCCCCATCACTGAAGGTTTTTAGGAAGAGACCAGACAGTCACTTAAGGCAGGAGTTGCCAACCTTTTGGACCTCAAGGACCACCGAATTCATAATTTTAACTCCAGTGGACCACTAATATGAATTTTGACTGATGGTGGCTTGCTGACGTTGATGGGAGAGAGAGAGGAGAGAGAGAGAGAGAGAGAGAGAGAGATCCGACATAACCTCGGAGACCTGGCAGTGATGTTCTATCTCTCTCTATCTCTCTCTCTCTCTCTCTCACACACACACACACACACACACACACACCTCACCCACACCCACACCCTACACCCCTTCCAAAGCAGCCGCATTCCTAACCTGCTTTTTAGCTCCGTTCTCAGGGGGAAAGAGAGAGAGAAAGGGAGAGACTTTTGGCTTCATGCAAGGAAAGCAGCAGAAGCAGCAGAAGTCTTTCTTTCTCTCCCCCAAACTCCGCCAGAAACGAGTCTTTGCCGGCGGAGCCTCTTGGAGCAGGAGGCCTTGCAGGGTCCCAAAGACTCATTTCTGGCAGAGTTTGGGGGAGAGAAAGAAAGATCTTTGGCTGCTTTCCTTGCGTGCAGCCAAAAGCAGAAGAAGAAAGAAGCGGGAAGAAGCAGCCCGGTGGCCAGGCCAGGTGCGTTGGGCGACTGGGGCAAGTTCCCCCCTCCACCCTTTCCCCCCTCCCCTCACTACCTCGTGTGGTTCACAACGCAAGCGACGCAAGCCTTATGTTCCCACGCAGCCTGGATTAATTGCTTTGGGGGGGACATTTCTCTGCAGACCACCACCATTTTCTCATGGACCACCAGTGGTCCCCCGGCCCATTGGTTGGCGACCACTGCCTTAGACAGTCACTTATCTGAAATGGCAGAGGTTCTCCTGCTTAAGAGGAGGCTGGGCTAGAAGATCTCCAAGGTCCCTCCTCCGTTATCTTATTCTTTTTTTTTCCAACCAGCCCTTCGGAGTCTCGCTGATTGGCCAGAAGGTCCTGTGAGTTGGCTCCGACATACACACAACTTCAAAACCCAGAGGGTGGGAACGCGTTAGTTAGGAACCAGTCCCACCGATCCTTGGGCTTCATTTAGAAGTTCTTCACCATCCTGATCTCCGTCCATCCCTTCTAGAGGTTCCTCAGCGGATTACACCCCAGAACGGATTACCTTTGTGATATGTTCATTTGGGCTCCATTCTTTGACGGAAGGCTCCTCGTAGATGTGTTTCCTAACCACCGGCACCCGATAGGAGTCGGTGTAGGTGCTGAGTGGCGTTTCTGTTTTATGCGCAAAGAGGAACATGGTTCCGGAAGTGCCTCTCTGGACGTCAACCTAATTCTCTACGGCTAATTCTCTATTGTCTATCAAAAAAAGGAGGTTGGGGGCGAACGTTGCACCTTCACCCCACTGATAAGAAAATAAAAAAAGGGGGGGACTCTTTGTACTCTACTAACAAACAACTACTGGCTGCTGTTCAGGGCCCTCCAAGCTCAGCCTAACACCGGCTCTACCTCAGCTGTGATGTCACAGTCACGGAAAGCAGCCATAAGGCAGGGGAGCAGGGAAGAGTGGCAGGGGAGAGGGTGGGAGGAACAAGGGCTTTTTCTGGGGGAACCTGTCTTCTGGATTTGGGTACCCCACCCCACCCAAGCCCCGCCCTCTTGGGTTGCTTCCCTGTGCAAAGGGGACCCCACGGTTACATAACTGT